TAAAGAAAAAGAAAGGGATAGCATGATCTTTAGTTGTACATTTTAACTGTTACTTATTTGTGTATAATTCTCTTATTAACTTGTAAATTTAAATTTTCTGTACTGATGATGAATCGTTACTGATTCAAACGTTCTACAATCAAATTTTCAAATAAAGACTTTTTCTTATAAATTAAAAGATTTTTTTCATTTTCTCTCCATAGGTATTTGTTGATACAGTTGGTGATCCGGATAAATATGCATTAAAACTTCGCTCAATATATCCAAAAATAAAAGTTTGTGTATCAAAAAAAGCTGACGATCTTTATCCAATTGTTTCGGCGTCAAGTATTTGCGCTAAAGTTATTCGTGATCAAATTGTTGAGAATTGGAAATTGAGTGAATACGATAAAACGTTTGTCTATGGTAGTGGATATCCATCGGGTAAGAATAATTTGGCTTTTTATTTTCAACTTCACTCTCTTATTGTTGTTTTACAGATCCAAATACAAAATCATTTCTCACAAAATGTATCGATCCAGTATTTGGTTTTCCAAAATTTGTGCGTTTTAGTTGGTCAACTGCTACAACTATTATGGACATTAAATGTGTCAAAGTTTTATGGTATGTTTGTACAATTTTTTTAATTATGATAATTTTCATTCATTTTAGTTTCTTTTCATAGGGATGACAGTGAAAATGAAGAGACTAGTAAAACTAAATCAAATAAACGAAAATTAGAACAAACTGACAGTACTAATGGTAGTACACCCAAATCAGTAAAAACATTACTGAATTATTTTGTACATAAAAAAGCCAATAATCATCATAAGGACGGAAGTGATTATTTTCGTGCGTCTCATCTACGTCCAGCTGTATTATAAAGTATACTCTGTGTGTATTTTTTTGAAAAATTATTTCTGTTCTTTCTCTTTCAAATACTAGAATAGACTAATGTCCTATTACTTTTGTGCAATATTATTTTGTGGATTTTTTTTTCCGCTAATGTTATATTTTAAAAAATAAAACAACTAAAATATGTCTTGTTTTTTTGTTAGACCGATTATTATTTCACAATGATTAGTAGGCTATGAAGGGAAAATAATGTCGAACAGTTCTGTTCTTTGCACGAATTATACAGAATTCGTCTTTTTCCTTTTTCTTGTAAGTATTTGACAGATGCGCTTGTAGAAGTGTGAAATTGAATGTGATGTGTAAATTATGACCAATGAGTTGCACTAAATCCTATCAAAGTTTATAGTAATTCGTAGTGTCTTTTCTTTTAGTTTACACGTTAATTACTTAAACTCCCATGATCTTGATTTTGGAGTTAAACATGCAAATATGGTTATATTATTTATGGTATGATACTACTGATCATACCAACAAAACAACTGTCATTATCTATATTGTAGATGTATTTCTTAATTTAATTGTAAATTAGTAATTGGTTAGATCGGACAATGACAAATAAGAAGATTCACCACATATGGTAAGGCTAATTGACTCAATGAAAATTGATAAGATAGACAAAAAATGTCTTGATCTGTCATCTTTAGCATGGTTTCAGATTTTTTCTATCCATTGATTGGTGGTGTAGAAAATCACATTTATCAATTGGCTCAATGTTTAATTGACTTAAATCATAAAGTTATTGTTGTAACACATGCGTACAATGATCGTGTTGGTGTTCGTTACATGACAAATGGTTTGAAGGTAAGCTCATCTAGATGCGTCGTTCATCTATTAACTTAAAGAAACTGAATAATTTTTCCAGTTTAGATTTCATGTAAATTTAATATTCATTAAAAAAAAAATGATCTTTTACTTCAGGTTTATTATCTACCATTTGTTCCGTTTTACAATAATGCAACTTTACCAACCGTATTTAGTACAATACCGCTTATACGATGTGTATTATTAAGAGAAAATGTGACAATTGTTCATGGACATTCTGTATGTATTATTTATGTATTTTAAATCGTTGTTGAACTTTCTATTTATTTTTCTAGTCATTTTCAACATTGGCTCATGAAACAATGTATCATGCAAAAACACTCGGCATACGCACGGTATTCACCGATCATTCATTATTTGGTTTTTCTGATATTAGCTCAGTAATAACTAATAAAGTATTGCAAATATCGCTCGTTGATTGTCATCATGTTATATGTGTTTCGCATACTTGGTATGTACAAGTGAGAATGAGAAGTATCAATTCTCACTTTAAAGTAGATTTATTTTAGTAAATCAAATACAATGCTGCGAGCCAATTTATCATCCAACGATATTTCAGTCGTCCCAAATGCCATTGATTCAGCAGTATTTGTTCCTGATACAACTAAACGATCAAACGAACGAAGTATGTACTTTCTATCATTCATTTCACTTGTTTCTCTGAAACATCTTTCTATGTTTTGACAAAAGTAAAAAGTAAACATTTTCAGAGACCAGTGTTGGGAAGCGATAAGTTTTTAACCGAAAATCTTTTCCTCTTAAAGATAACGTTGCTTATATGGATACTCTAGCCTTGAGCGTGAATGTAGTTTGCCGACCTGTCTTATGCGTCAAAACCTTTTATCTAGAAAAGTGCTTTTTGTTCCGATTTAGTTACAATTATTGTTGCTAGTCGTTTGGTTTATCGTAAAGGTATTGATTTATTAATTGGTGTACTACCAAAAATCCTAAAAACATACCCAAATGTTGAATTCAAAATTGGTAATTACTTTGAAAAAGTTTTTTTTAATATTCGAATAAGGATCTCTCACTTTTCTTTTTCAGCTGGTAATGGACCAAAAGAAATTGATATACAAGAGGTTCGAGAACGAGAAGCATACGAAGAACGTGTACAGTTAGGTAAGTCAGCTCTTCACTGTGACTGCTGAATCTCAGGAATGAGTGTGTGAAAAAATTCTGATTAAGCCATTCGAAAGAGCGTCCAAAACTAAGTAAGATAAATATAGTGTGGAAGGTAAGTGAAAGAATTTGACCCATCTTATAATGTTTTGGATCTTAGAGCTATTTTTGAAATTGCTTTTCTGCACGGGAGGGTAAATATTTTTTGGATACCTTCGAAGTTTTGATGGAAAATGTTTTTTATGAATGGAAAGCCGGTTTTAATGTTCAGAAACCCGTTTTTCCCTTTGAACTTAAAAAGTCCACATTTTTCTTTTTAGCTATTTCAAAAATAGCTCTAAGATCCAAAACATTATAAGATGGGTCAAATACTTTCACTTACCTTCCACACTATATTTATCTTACTTAGTTTTGGACGCTCTTTCGAATGGCTTAATCAGAACTTTTTCACACACTCATTCCTGAGATTCAGCAGTCACACTAAAGAGCTTGGCACTATTGGTTTAAAGTTGCATTTTCGCCCTAAGGAAAAAGCTTTTCAAAATTATTTTTTACCAAAATGTGGCTCGCGCTCTGTACTATCGACTGATGCAGTTTTCATATTTAGTCCGTACTTATACAACTTTTATCAATTGTTCGGAAAATTTTTGCCGCCACGGAATATATATAGAGTGTAGAGTGTATACTTTTTGCTCTCTCTCTTTTAGTTGGATCAGTAAGTCATGATAAAATGAACGAGTTTTTAAATAGTGGACATATATTCTTGAATACATCATTGACCGAAGCTTTTTGTATGGCTATTCTTGAAGCAGCAGCATGCGGGTATTTAACCTAGTTATTGCACTTTTGTTTCACTCATAACTTTTTCTTGTCTGTAGTCTTCTAGTTGTGTCGACTAAGGTTGGAGGTATACCCGAAGTACTACCATCTAATGATACAAACTCCGATATTATGATTTTATGTGAACCAGATGTGCAAGGTAGGTAATAAGCAGACAGTCAGTATCTAACTTAGGTGCAACAGTCAATTATTTTGCTTTAAAATAGCGTACTATGTGGTATTTTTCTCTTTCTTTAGCTGTTTATATTGGTTTGTGCAAAGCAATTGAACGAATATCTAATGGAAATGGGCCTGAAGTGTCTGAATGGCATGAGAAAATAAAACACTGGTATTCATGGAAAAAAGTTGCTATACAAACACAAACAATTTATAATAATATTTCAGAAAAAGTCCCATTAACATTAAACGACAGACTAAAACGGTTAGTACAATTAATGTTTTTTTTTCGTTAGTTTTCTTCTTATTTTTCTAGGTATAAAAGATGTGGCTCCATTAGTGGAATTGTTATGAGTTTCATTGCGATAGTGTCTTATTTCATCGTAATCTTTCTTAATTATACACAACCTATTCATTTAATCGATGATGCCAGTGGATATACGAGAGAAAAGTTTGAACTAGCATATGAATTAAGAAGGCAAAATGATAAGAAAACTAAATAATATTTTACACTTGGAAGACTATCAAGCTTGCCAAAGCGTTTATATGTTATTTATTTTTGTACATAGTAAAATATTGATTGGTACAGTATCCAAGAAAAGCAGAAGTATCATCCTGAAATCAAACAAAAATAATCTTAAAACTCACTGTAGAAGATCACTGTATATTTCCAGATTTTTTGACAGTTGAATTCAAAATTTTAGATTCAGTATTATTTGTGAGTCTTTTTAGGTGACAAATCAACTTTGTTGAAAACATTGAAAATCCAGTATTTATTCAGGCACTATTTATTTAAAATGAACCCGTGATTGAATAATAGTGCATTCAATATTCTTTGACTTACAGCTTACCGTTCATTTTATGTTCTCTGGTACCAACTGTTTTAAAAATTTTTTTATTTTGAAATACAATAGGAAGTATCAGGCGAAGAAGGGGCAATTTCTTCTTCATCTTACAATAAAAAAAAAGTGGGACATCAATACTGCACATATACACGACTGAAAAAAACGAGTACGTAGAAAATAATACTTCGCTATCTATTTACACAAAGAATCAGTCTGTGTTATTAAACGAATTCTTTTAGTTTGATAAATAATTTCGACAGAAAGGGTAGTAGTAGCGATAACTAAAGAATATTCTTCAATTCAATGTGTAATGGTTTTGTTTTTTTAACACTTTGGTATGCGTTTCTATGGAGAAACACATACGCACACGCACACACACACACATACACACATACACACAACAACAGTTGTAAAAAATAAAATAAGACACATATACGATACAGACTAAAAAACAGCAAGAACAACAATTACAGAAAAATGTCAAAATTTCTTTTTTTAAAACACAACTAAAATGAAAATCAATAAATAAAACATTTTCAGATGAGATTGATGAAAACAGATAAAAATGAAGACAATACGAGACTGACTCTCACTGTGTAATGATGACGACGATTATGAGGGAGATTACAAAGAAAATTCTACTCAACACTGACAACTACTTCCTCTTTGCTGTTGATCATTTGCTGTTAAACGTGTTGTTTGTTTACTGTATCCACCAACGTTTTGGGCTCCATAATTTCCTCCAGCACTCGGATCATCAACCGCATCAGTCATCTTATCTAATATAATATCCACTAGTCTAAACAATAATGAAAAAAATGATAGGCTCGAAAAAATCTTAAGATTTAGCCCATTATATGGAGATGTAGTCGAAAAAATAATATTCTAAGCAAAGGAACCTAGCAGAAACTAGTTACGTACTGGACAAAGATGACTCGATCTCAAAGAGACAGATTTTTTCATAACATACCGTTCGAATACGGCTTTTACATTAATATTTTCTTTTGCAGATGTTTCAAAAAATTCTAATCCTAAAACAAAAACAATCATTTACCAAGTTACAGATGTACAATGACAAAAAATGCCTTGTTATTAGAGAGAAAAACAACACAATAAGCAAGCATGATATGTGTACAGATGGGCGGTAATGTGTGATCTTACCAAGAGATGATGCTAATTTTTCTCCCTGTTCACTTTGAATGATTCTGTCAGTTTGCATATCACTTTTATTACCAACTAATATAACTTGCGCATTATCCCATGAATATGTTTTAATCTGAGTTACCCTTATAAACAAACAAATACAAGAAGCATATTGACATAAGCACAATAATAGTAATAACAATATAAAGCAAACACATAAAAATAATTTACATTAAACTAATAAAATAAGAATAAATATGGAGTTGATCTCTTTAAATGTCAAAATTTCTAGCAATAGTGTTCAGCGTAGCTTCACACATTCTACGACGATCGTGAAGATATCGACAGTGACTATCGACATGCTATATATTAAATACTCAGTCAACAGACGAACGAGCGAAACTAGTTTGTTTTATAATCAACAAATAGTCAATCAAAGCAGAAAATCTACTAAATCAAACTGGTAATGTGGTTGTGAAAAAGTTTAGCATTAGCTGTATTAGGTTTCTGGTTGGTGAACAAATAAGTGAAATTGTGATTACTACACGGCAAAACAACACGTACACACACACACACACGCACACACACAAACACACGCAATATTAGACAATAAAGAAATTAATAACTACAACAACAACGAATGTGAACGGACCTAATTGATCAGCAAGCCTTTTCCCACGTTCAGTTGTAACAGCTCTATCGTGTTCGAGATCACATTTATTTCCAACTAAAACAACCTGAGCATTGTCCCATGAGTACATCTTGATCTGAGTACACCTTAAAAATTTGAAATGACGATCGAAAATTATCAACGGTGATTCCGAATGTACACGTGCATTAACACAAATCGATGGTGTTCAAGATCAAAGTACTCCAACGTCAATCAAACACTTACCAATCTTGAACAGCATTGAATGATTCTTCATTTGTTATATCATACATTAATATGAATCCCATAGCTCCTCGATAATACGCAGCTAAACAAAAAAAACATGTAAAGACTGGGCTTTACACATTCTATATCAGAGAAAAACGTTTCTGGCATCCTGTAAATCAACAGAGTCTAGCCTAACATTCTCAAAGAAAATTATATAAAAATAAAAAATATGAACTTGTTATCGTTCTGTATCGTTCTTGACCAGCTGTATCCTGAAATAGTGAATAACAAATGTAGCAATAACATCTACTAAATAAAACTGCTGCATACCCATATTTGCAATTTAACACGTTTATCTTGCCGAAAGACGGTTTTAACCTTGAAATCAATTCCAACTGTACTGACAAATGCTGAGGTGAAAGAATCATCGGCATAACGGAATAACTAGAAAAACACTCCATGAATAATCAAAAAGAAAAACGACGTAAAAAAACAACAAAAAAAACGTACAAATGATGTTTTTCCAACACTCGAGTTTCCGATAATTAACAGTTTGAACATGTAATCAAAATTCTGATCGGCTGCATCTTTTGCACCACCACGCTCAGATGAATGACTATTTTGAGTCATCTAAAATAAAATAGACAAACATTAATGAGAAATAAACAATTAAAAGAGCATTTTAGCAACCCGTTCGTTGCGTAAAAACTAGAATCTCAGAGAGACTTTCCCTCAAAGAATAAGACTCACTGTCTCGTTTATTATATACTGAAAATAATTATATAATGATAACGATCAGCAATGTCACATACATTACAAAAAAAAATATTCACAAAAACAACAAAACCGCAGCTAAAAAACAATTATTGTAAGCACTAGAGACAAAGGCTTTTAATATTCAAGGTAATTTTATAGCGACCTCGCACTGATTCACTAACGGTAAATTAATACAGGTAAAATTGTATACGCTTTTTTTTACGGTTATTCTGTTCTTGTTTTGCATTGGTATTGGTTTTATTTTATTAACAAGCGGAGAGAGACAAGAGAGAGAAAGCTTCATCCATTGCTCGACGTCTATTGGCTGTGGTTTTGAAAATTGACAGTCTTAAATAATACATTAGTTATGAACTATAGGTTCAATTGCAATCGCGTGATTGTAGATAAGGACTATATGGATATACTGATAGGATTTTCTATCAAATTTCTATTATTACAGTAAAGAGGATGTTACTATCAAGATGTCGATGCTCATGGATCTAAAACTAAAACCTATTTAACAAAAACTCAGTTGTTATCTATAACACAGTTATCTAGTTTTCATTGAGTTTGCTATCGACTTATTTCAATTTTTCAATTTTGTAAGTGATTTTCTCTAGCTTCTGAGTAACTGAGTTGGTATTTTATTACTCAGAAAAAAATTTTTTTAGTCAAAAGATGCGTTACTCAATAGAAAAACTTTAGGTACTCAGCAGGCTCGCCATCCGCACTCCCCCCCCCCCACCACCAAAACTACTATCAAAAACACTGATGGAAACAAAATGGAAGAGCAGTCCCTGATCAGTTGCTAAGGGGTTACATCTCTATTTATCGTCCAGTGTAGTATTTTTGAATAAATCGAGTCTCAAATGTTTATCACTTACTTTTCTTCCATGTTCACGTGCATATGTCATAATGGTAAAATGAAGTTTGAGAATGTTAATAGCGACAATAAGATACAATGCAGAGTGATATAACTCTCGTGATTTTTTACGTAAGATATTGAAGAGTTGATGATAAGTGAAAGTTATTAATTGTATAGACAAATCAAAGTAGGAAGATGCACTTTCTCTCAAGAAAAACCTATCAATACTATCAATATACGTTTACATATCATAATAACAAAAGGGGTGTAAAAAACGCTTTAGTTGATAATAAGTGAGGAGTCAGCTTGATCTAATATTCATTAATATTTACATTTTTCGTTTCTCTTGTCTCTAATACATAGTCTTTAAAGAAACACTTCAATTATGAGACCCTTCAGATATAAAAAACGCGAAAATAAAGAGGTTAACTGGCAAAAACATATTGAGTGGGTTGGTTTAACTTCGGCATCTCGCGATTCATGCACTGGCCTACCCGATTACAACTTTCATTTTTTTTCTCAAAAGGAAAAATTTGAGAGGATTTCTAAGTAATTTTTAAACGCTGATGACATGAATATTTCCTACACGATTTGTTTACTTTTGCGTCGTACGATCTACTGTTTTAATACATGCATAGTTTTTTACATAGTCTGAAAAAGCTTCTTCTAGTAAGATAATCCATAGAACATCGTTGACTAAAAGATAATATTGCCTCATTGTGTTAATTACTCTTTAAGAAAATCTCTTCAAATAGAAGCACAGCTATATAAAGAAAGAGAGAAATGAGTAGGTAATACTTAAAGTATTGCTTAAATCTAAATGTTGATTTAAATCACTGCTTAGCTAAACTAATTCGAGGTAGGTTCAAGACTAGCCTAAGTCAATGTCGAGAAAGACTATATGAACATAGAACATGAGCCCTTTTATCTTACAAACTCTCTGTATTATTTTGCTTCTGATTACAATCAAGAAACATAAATTACACATATCTGTTTACTAGTCGCATTAAAACAATCAAAATCATAAGAAATGAGCACTGTTTACAAGGCATGCATTTATTAGAAAGAATACTCTTATTTTAAGTTAGTACAATCAATCTTACTCATTGTTACTCTGTACTATTTATTCATATTCCAAAAGGTAGACTGTCCATGGTAAGTCTGATAGAGTCGTACTCAAGAAAAAGGGCAATTCTGCTCCATAAAATATACAAAAAGTTTGAAGAACTATAGGTGCAGGATGAGTTATAAAACAAAATTCAAGGCAACAAAGTATTTTTTTTTCATTTCTTTCCCACATTTTTCTTTCTAATTTTTAAATATAACGGGTGAGCCGAAAATTTTTTGCACAACTTTGCATTAAAAAATTTTCTCACTCCTTAAGCGATAAATCGATTTTATTGCTCGTTAGTTAGATCTGTCCGTCAATCTGTTCTTTCGAATGGTATAGTTAGTTTTGTTATGCTTTGTTTAAGTCAGATAGTATGAGATTTTAAGTCAGACTGCTCAAAGTAATATTGAACAAAAAAAACGAAAGAAAAAAAGTATAATAATGCCCATTGATTTCTTAAGGAAAACTAATAAATTCTCCAGCTTATTTCGAGCAAAATTGTTCATCACGATCAGGACTATCTTTACGTGAAAAAAAACCTGATTGTGCTTTGTTCAGAAGGAAAATACTGCATTTTAGTCCAAACGACAAATGTCGTTTTATCCTGCTTATGTCGTCTTTGTTCTTCTCGTCAATATTTGCAGATAGAAAAATTAATGAATTTATTTGCCTTTTTTTTCTCTGTACATTTTTATAAAATGAATGTATGTCTGTTTGTTTTAATATCTGAAACGATTTTCTTTTTTTTGTGAATAAATGAAATGTGTTTTTTTCTCTTTTTCAATATAAGCCGTCGTCGAATAAAACAGAATACGTCATAATATTGGATGTGATCGATTCTATGAAGATACTTCTACTTGTG